CAATTTTTGAAACTTACAGAGATAACAACTTTACACCCAAGTTTTTCTGACTTACAAAAATACGGAGAGCAATATGAAGAGAAGAAAAAGAAAAAAATATCATCCTGAGGTTTGATTTAGTGTACTACCAGTATAAAATGCCAATCATCATGGCAGAGACAATAGAAAAAAACACACTAGAAAACTAAAGATATCAAATTGGGCCATACAGAAAAAAAAGGGAAGAAGAAAAAAAAGCCAAAACGTAAGGATCCTGATATCTAAGAAAGTCAACTTATCCAATTAGGAATTAAAACGCCATACAGATTAATGTTCTAGAGTAGAGCCCAAACTTCTTGGTGATGTCTGTAAACGTACCAACACTTGAAGTAAAACCTTCTTTGGAAGAGTTATCCAGACTACAAGCTATAAAATCAAAACGTATCTAATAAAGACAAAAGTAAAAAAAAACGAAATCAAATGAACGTTACGACAGATTACACAACCAAAGATAATATTACAAAAGATACCAACTCTAGAATAGAACAGAAATATCCCCACTAATCAAACTACTAACTTCAATGATAATAATAATAGATTTCCAGTAAAACGAAAGGAATGTCCTCTAATACTGTGTCAAGAAGAATTCCCTCCTCCCCCTCTACAAAAACGCATGTAAATATCCAAATAAAAACGAAATCAAACTTATCGTGAAACTAACAAATAACAAACTGGCCACCAAGCATAGTACAAGTCACTGATACTTTTAATGTACTCAGGATAGAAAGGTAATTTAAGTCTTCTTGTTTTCATTTTATATATCCATGAATTCAATGGAAAGAAAATGAAAAGTGTAAGACTAAGCATTTTCCAGGGATAACTTTTAGGTATAGGACAAGACTGATATGGTTGATTTGGTTTGTTCCGAATAATCGCACAAAACTACCCAGGAACTGTCTGTACTAACCGAACTTAATCTTCAACTTATCTATTAAACTAGTGTTTCTAATCAGTGGTGCAGAATGTATCCTGGGAAGGCCTTAGAAGGTTCAAGAAAAAAAGTATAGTTTTACTAGCCTATGTAGGTAGCTTTCTTTCATTAAAAGTTATCATATGACTGAATCTAAATAAAATCAACTATGATATAAATTTGTAGGACACTAAAGTGCTAAATAGGGAACAAGACCCACACAAGAAAAATGTAAAATAATTTTTATAATCAACAATGATTGTATATCTGGGTTTCTCCAACACTTATATACTAATGAAATCATTCCAACTTCTAAAGCATTGTGAGAAATTCCATTTTGACAATCGGTTTCTATTTATTACCCTCGCCCTGTGAGGGTATTGTAATCGGGTCCACGTGTGTGTTTCCGTCTGTGTTTCCGCGCGCGTATCTCGATAACTAATGGACCGAGGTACACGAAAATTGTGTATGTTTGGATTGTTGCGTTTATCTCTTGGGAAGGTGAGTGTGCATAATGTTTGATTTTGTGCAATATGTCCATTTACATTATTAAGTTAAAGTGATACTGACTCATGTCTGGGTCGTTATGGATTTTGGATGTATTCTGTAGGTGGGTTTTGAAAGCTTCGGCTTTTTATGCATTATTAAAATATACAAACAATACATACGACCAATAATTGAATGTGCCAGACCAGCATGGATAAACATCTCACCAAATATAATAAAAAGACAATTACAACCAATACAACACTCGATACTCACTGCATCATGTAAAGTACCAAGAACCACAAGCTCATATTTCCTACACAAATTTACAGACAATAAAAGACAGGCTCTTACAGTGCTCAAATAATTATTTTTCAAAAACTCTGAATAAGAATGAGCTACTAACGTCATTGTCTCGCTATATCATACATGATGAAAATAAGCCTAAGTACCTCTTCCCAGTTAATATATACTTTAACAGTAGCAACAGGCCACCTAATGCTAAATTTCAAATAAATGTATCATTTAACTAGTTTATAATAAAAATATTCATTAGGGTATTTATGTTTAATGCTCTTGTCATAAATTAGAAAATGAATGTGTCACGATATGTGGAAGTGTTTGTCACGTGTAAGACTATACACACCAAGCTAAGAAAAGTATATTCCGATATAAAATGCTACATGTGGTACATGAACGGACATGGCTATGAAAAGGGTTGTTGAAATTAAAGGCTGTAAACAGTACACAACCGTCACATATAATTCGTCTAGCATTTACCACGCACGGTAATGTACGTGGCGCGTTACAACTACTGTGGAAGAGGGAGGGCGGGTTCTTCCAAAGCACCTGACCCTCCCAGATCCGAATAAGAAGACTTAAAATTCGACCCAAATCCGCAAGAACGAAAATTTTACACAAGATGGGAAATCAGTATTGGGCAGTCCTCCCCAAATTTGGTCCGCATCCAAATCCAGATCCGGATTGAAGCATGGAGAGATAGGGCATTTTCGCGGTTTTGAGTTAAGTGTGATATGATTTGTACCAAATTTCATGGACACATTAAGGTTGAGACTCCTCATCACACTACAAAAAATGATCAGGATCGTTGATCATTCAGGATCTGAAAAATATTTTCTGAGTTTTCGAAGGTGAAATTTCAAAATTCGTAAGAAATTCAATTTTGAACATACCGATTTGCAATTTTGCACACAAACACTGTGGTTATTATCATCTTACATAAGTTCCCGTTTGTGTTACGTATGATTATAAATGTCAAGGGTCCATCTGGATCAGTAATGGTACTATCACTATTGTAAGAACCGTACATCTAACCAATAAATGGTTGTAACACATATATTATTCGATATTCAAAATATTTTCCTAATTTGTTAAGGTGCTTAACCTATTCATTTATTTTTCTGATCATGATTTTGTATGTGTCTCTGACAGACAAGCATGAGGCCGCTGGAATGTGCATATTAGCTACAAAACAACATTTGTATATGACGTTGTCCAATATAAACGCATGCAATTTCGAAAAGGAGCAGTGGAGTGATGGCATGCAATCTCTCCGCAATTTCAACTTGTTAACATAAACCTATGTCATCCACTGTTCGTGTGTTTCGTAAGTAGGGTATATTATTTTATTTCTTTATTGTTACTTTCATGAACAGTATTGGTTAGAATGTTTATCTAGTTTTATTATATTTTATTACTATATGTTTATTATAGAGTTGTTGTTTTTTTGCATTTTTAATTTAGGACTAGCCAAAATCTTCTAGGCTGGTGGATTGTCGTAAGATATTACTGGGTTTACGACCGAAAACATCATTCACACCGAGGCTACACAAATGACAAAACAATGCATTATAATTTTCATAAGAAATAACGCAAGAACATTATATTTAATGAAATACATAATTACCGGGTTTATTTTTGTTTTTGATCTAAGTAGGCAGTTTGTTCTCATTTGAAGTTTGTATTAATTGTCCATAGAATGGCGGAGATACTTTTGGTCAAGCTCTTTCATTCGCTACTCTAAAAAGTGTTTCCATTAGCACTATTTATCATTAATACTGCATCGTCTAAAGTAAGTTCTCCCGACTACTCTTTAGTAATATAAGTTATTTGATCCGGGGTATAAAAAAAAAATTGATAAAAACCTATTTACTCACTTGATTAATGGTAAGTACCAGGCCAATGGTTTTAAATAGTTACTCAAGGTACTTGGTTCCTTGGTTACACATTCTTTTTTGAATTCGTCCAGAGTCTTGAAAGGCAGTTTATGGTTGTTGTTCCTGGAATGTTTTTTAGTACGAATAAGTTTCTGTGGAAAGGTTTACAACCAAAATTACGAATAAGTTAATGTTATTTTTCTATGTCTCAACACAGTCTCACAGCAATAACATTAATATTGAAATTCTCATTTATGTACTTTTGTAGGCATAACGCTTGGATGACAGTAGTTCCATAAGTATTATCACGTTTGTTTCATTTATCTTTCACAATATCTATTGATCTTTTCAACTTGAAAAATACCTTATGAAACACGTGGGATCAGAGACCCCTGAGATCCAAGCATAGCTATCCCTAATTTGGGCCCGGCATGGCCAGGTGGATAAGGCGCTCGACTCACAATCTGAGGGTCGCGGGTTCGAATCCGCAT